AATCTTAAGTTAATGTTATTTTGGCTATTTTTAGTGGCATAAGTGCGATTTTTATGGCTGAATTTCCGCTTCATATCTGAGTTTGTATTTTTTTTTCACACATCGAGCATTTTTGGCTTTCGTTCAGCGCAAAGGAAGAAAACGGCTGTTCTCTGTATCTATCGCTACTTGCAGAATCGAAGACTAATAAAATTTTTAGGTTCGTGCGTTGAAGTTTTGTACAGAAATGAGCGGCGTTTTGGAGTTGTGAAGTGGATTGATGATGGCGATAACGAGGTGCGGCAGAATAATCGAATAGTTGCCGTCGAAATTGTTAGTGTTTTTCCTGGGCTTTCATCGTAACATCAGAGCGGTATTTGACAAAAATTCGTAAAAATGCTCAAAAAGCTGATGTAAGAATCCCGCGCTAATGGCGATTTTGGGTTGAGCCGCAAACATCGGGAAGGCGTCCTTCATGGCGAGTGAAGTGTGAGGAAGTACTGGCTTTTGATTTTGATATGCAAACATTTCGCTTATTTTGCTTCGGGAAATAATTAAGCGCTTGAGTTGAGCTGAAAATAATTGCGCTTGAGCTGTTCTGAATCTGAAAATAATCTTTGTTAAACTGAATTATCGAATAAAATCATTTGTTTTTTGAAGGAAGGAGATATGCCATACGAATGGCGAACGATGGATCTGATGCAGCTGAAAGAGGCCCAGAATGCCGGCGTTTTTGTCAATGCTGGTCTCGATTCGATCGCACTTGTTCCCTATTGCTCACTTCGACCAGATGATCGCTTTGCAACATCTGACATACCAGAAATACTCGAAAATTGTGACGCCGAAAGAGGTATTGGTTATCTTAAGTGCCTGTTATTTATGCTTCTGCGCTACTCCTTAGATTCTTGGACTTGAAAATGTCTCACTAAATCCTCCATGTTTTTATTAGATTTTTTTTATTTTTCATTTTTTTTAGAATGGTTATCAGGTTATTCATAAAGCGCCCTAGTTTACTTGAATCAGCTGTTTTTCATAATCTTTTTGCCCATTTACGCAGCTGACAACCTCTGTAGTTGCTTTGATCAGTGCTGCATTAGCTGGTAGTTAACCTGCTGGCAATCTTGATGTTCGTTTCTCCCTCGAAATGATCACAAACTTGGTGATTTTCACATTGGAGAACTTGAAAACATTTTAATTGTTCCGAAATATTCTTGACTTTGGGCCTAATTATCTCGTCTGAGGTATTATTAAGTGAGCATTTGTGAGTTTTAGTCAACGTTAGGGCGATGCCAGATCGAGTTCGCCTCATTTCAGGTCTGGACTATTTTTCCATTAATGATGGTGGCCTCTGTAAATCAAGAGAAGACTTCCGAAAGCGCAGAGGACGTTGAGGGCCTAGAAATTTGATGAATTCAAAAAACTTAAAGAAAGTTTTCCTTTATTTTTACAGACTCTTAAAAATTTTATGCGATTTTCAGTATCGTCATCGAATTTCGGAAGCTTGGATAGTGGCGTGGAAGTACGGCCATGTATGCCAACCAAAAATATCGAGAATCTGATCGGACGAATGAAGGGGATTCAGGGTTTTCGCAATAGTTGCTATCTCGATGCCACGCTCTATGCAATGTTTGCACAGTGCTCCGCATTCGACAAGTGATTTCTCGTTTTATATTCCTACACCAAGAATTTTAAGACCGCATGATAAAGATAATCAGTACAGGCATCTCGAGTTAGTGGTGTTTCTGGGATGTTCCTGCACTCTGGACACAGCTACGTCAGACCTTTCGACCCTGAACTGCATACTTTTAATTAGCGCCTTAAACTTTAGCAGTCCAAAAGCCTTAAAGTTCCATAATGTGTGATAATTCTGAACATAGGTTCAGGTTGTTGAAATCCTGAAATTTAGTGAAGTCTTGAAATCTCCAAATTTTTGAAATTCTTTGTTAAAATTTTGAAATTTTTGAGAATTGTTGGAATTTTTCTCCAGAGGGTGTCCACACATCCTTTGTTTTTTATTCGCTTCCCAGAAATGGCACTTTCAGCAAAAAGACTATGTTATCTCCTAGTCACATGAGAGTTTTCTTTGGTTTTCTCCATACTCTGATACTTTGATCAGCTGATGGCTTATCGTCACACTGCTTTTCGCCACTGATACAACTGCCAGCATCACTGTCAAGCTGGAATTCAGAAGTACCGCATATAGGTGAGGAAAATATAAGAGAACTGTGATTGAGAAGAATGGGCGAAATTCCTTTTGCAGCATTTTGGCAAGCAGATGTGCAACAGCGGCAGACTCAATTCATACGGAAGTAACTGATATCCTGAAAACTGAAATTGTCTATCCTCTAAGACGGTTTGTCCTTCTGTTTTATTCGCAAAGAATTCTTTAGAGTAAACTCAATGAACTTTGAATGCCTGTGGTCCAAACTTTCGGACTTTATTTTTAAATACTCACATCTGTTTGAATTTTAATGGTACTGCGAGTGACAGGCGTAGTTTTTGCGGATGCGGAAAATATTGTAGTCGATGGAAAAATTACCAGTTGCATAGATGGAGATCTAGACTATGAATTAATAATTGGCTAATGCAGCGGCTGCCGGTGCGAAAATGCGTTTTTTGCACAATCCCCATAGGTTTTCGTCGTTAACGGCACTGTTTTTTTCTTAAAATGCTCTTAGCTAGAAAAATTGAGACTGGCCATCATCCCCTTAAAATCCCAGCTTTCTAGCTTCTCTGGTTCCCGAGTTAGCAACTCAACCGCTAAAATTTTAATGAGCCCGTACGTGAGTACCAAACGGATATAAGCGATCATTTTGAGAGCAAGAGCTCGTACATAAGGTGTAGACTAATTCGCCAAAATTTCAGTCTTATAGCTTTTCTGGGTCTCGAGATGAAAACGCACATACAGACATAGAAACATGCACACAGGCGTTTTTGCATTGCATAGATACAAAAAAACTCGAAAATTTTTATTGTGGACAGTTCTTCAGAAGGAGCAATGATAATTGTAATTAGCTGCTGTTGGGTTTGCTGTAATTACAGGCAAAACTGCGTTCAGGTTGCAAGTATATAATCAAATTTTCCCAGCGAAATTACCAGTCTTTTTACGTTTTCTTCATTGGCTTCGATGACAAATTGGTACCGTTTGGTCAAGACCACCATTACTTTGCCTTCATGTCATCGGCAGTGAAATGTAAAAAGTGTTTTGGATTCTGATTAACTATAGTTACTTCTTTGATATCAGTAATGTTCCAATGCGTTATAGGTTTCATTTCGTTCGTGCCGATCATGTTTTTAATCTGAGGCGACTGCTGGAACGATTTTTACCCGAAATGAGTGGATTAACAACGGGCGAGAAAGATCCAGAAGAGCTGTTGAATGCTCTTTTCAATACAGTTCTACGAGTTGAACCGTTTTTTGTCATGAAGTAAATTTTCTTCGTTTCTTCAAATTCTGCTGCTGTGCTCTTTTCAGTGGTTCTGTTAAGAAATTACTGCACTGAAAATGCGTCATTGCATTATTTACTTTGATAAGCTGTGGTTTTGCTGACGCTCTTCTTCGTACAGTTAGTGCTACTGGCAGTTTCTCTATTCTTCTCTGTCTTTTGCTTGTCGCATCTACGTTGTTCCATGCTTGTGTGCTTGGTGTAATTGTAATAATAGTTTGGTTCTTTTTTATGCATTTAGCAACAACTGATTTTTTTTTTGCTTTAACTGATACTACATCGCTTTTACGGTCAGCTTACTGACTGTCCTGGCATCTGTTCCGTCCCCTGAAGGTATTACCAACTCAACGGTTCTCGAAAAATATTTGCTTGGCAAGGTTATAACCGTTTTGAGATGTTTTTGGTGGGTGCTGAGCATCATCGCTTTATCGTTAAAGTCGCCACTTCTAAATCAGGATGAATTACGGTACGGGCAATGAGGCTTATTTTCATCTAGACGCTGTATTGAAGGGTTTTTTCACCTCATTGCCACTTTTTTTAATTTTTTAGGCTTCGCTGCGTTAGGTTTTTTTAGCTTTTGTTTTCAGAAATTATGGATTTTTCAGTTTTTTTTTTTGGTAATTGTGGAATTAAATGGATGCATTTAGGAATACGACAGATGGTAAAACGAGTCCATCGTTTATTTGTCCATTAATTACGGAGGATTTATGGAGCGATGACCAGCGCCGACTGATCAGCGTACAGGCACTTCTAGAACGATCGCTTTTCGCCTCGAATATCCAGTTTGCTTCTGTAAGTCTTTTTTTTGTCTTCGATGGGTCTATGGTTTTTTCGGGTTTTTTTTTGGAAAATAAAAAGTGATAAAGTGTGGGAATGAGGACTGAATTTATTTGATGGACTGTGATTCGCCATTTGAATTTTTGACTTTTTTTTTTGTAGCTGAAGAAGGTAAGATGTTTTTGCGGTAAAGACCAATATTTGTTGCGCAAGTTGATTTTTGATTAGAGTCGAAAATTTGTCAGATCTTTGCAACTCCGTATCGGGATTTGTGTTTTGAAAAATTGCTCCAAATTTTGATCTAGAATTTTGGCAAAATTCAATTATTTCTTAGCATTTTCGCAGATTTCCAAACTCCATATCATTTTTCAACAGGGTGTTGGAAAGCGAATAGATAG